CAGAAAATTAATTTAGCTTTGAAACTGATCTACAAATTTTCCATTCAAAGTGTTTTTTATTATTAATTTGTTTTATGAAACTTGAGTTAACCTTTCCATCGATGGCGTTTCCCAGAGCATCCACCACACGGCCCAGCAGCTCCTCGCCCACAGGAACATCCACGATGGCTCCAGTTCTCTTCACAATGTCGCCCTCTTTGATCAGCTTGTCGTTACCAAACACCACCACACCAACGTTGTCAGGCTCCAAGTTCAGAGACATGCCCTACAACGACAAACGTACATATTTAGCATTTTTGCCATTTGGAAGCAATAAGCTTTTTGATTCCTGCTTCTGTTGAATCACAGCTGACCAGATGCAGAAAGCAGCTTTAACAGTTTCTTTTGTTTTTAACAATCAATTTGTTTCTAAACATACTTTGAGTCCAGAGGAGAATTCCACCATCTCTTCAGCCTGGACGTTCCTCAGGCCGTACACTCTGGCGATACCGTCACCGATGGACAGCACACGGCCCGTCTCCTCAAGGTCAGCGGAGGTGTCTGCACCCAGGATCTTCTCCTCCAGGATGGAAGAGACCTCAGCTGTGCCTGTGAATGAATAATTAATATTACAATCGCTTCGTCTAACAATATATGGAAGCACCGATTGGTCCTTCCCAGGCAAGAACAGAGTTCAGGTTTCATTCCAAAGACAAATTCGTTGATCTAAATTATTTTTGGCAACAATTACAATCACATAAGAGAAGCAAAAAAGTGCTTCAGGTTTTTAGGTGGGAGATAGCTTGAATCAAACTAAAGATATTTGCAGAATAATCCCGTTTATGCAGCAAAGCACATGTACTCAACAATCAGAACCAGTCAGGAGAAAAACGATTCTTAGGTCAGTTCAATAGATTTGTGCGTCTTTACTACACTTTAACCTCTTCAAAGTACAGCAAAAATATTGTTTTTGTGTATTAACATCAAGTGCCAAAAAAATGTAAAGGGTTCACTCGGTATGTTATTAATGAGAATACAGGTTATTGCCAATCATTTCAGAATTGAGCTACCACTTTCTTTAAGGGTGCAAAACTGAATGCATTTTTATTTCATGGTATAATATTATGATGTCTTTAATGTATTATAACAGCAATGTACCTTAAGCTGATTAAAAGGATTGTTACAAATGAACATTTATTCCAACTAACTATTCACAAAAAAAAAAAGAAATGTTTTCAATGAAAATGTTGACATAAAATAACATTTTTCTGATTTTATGTCTCCAAATATCATGGAAGAAAATGTATCTTGAATTAGCTTTTAAAACAATGAAGCCTTCATTTTAGAACAACATGCATAACAAAAACTTGGAGTGGTTTCAATACTTCTACTACCTCTGTTCAAGAACACATAGGATTTTCTTTTTTGTGCATCAGTTTTCTTCAAAATCTTGACAGAAAAACCCACATTCAGGAAACGCCTGACCAAAGCACCTCTGTTATTTATACACCAGAATACGCCATAAAATTTGATCTGATCTCAATTATACTTCAAGGTGCGTGAATGTCAAAAGTATCAGAGATCTTGGAATTAATCTTGACAAAACAATACCCATTTTTCTGTATATGATCCAGTTAATCACAGAGGCAAAATTGGCACCTCAAATGTCTTTGTCCATTTCTAGTATCCTGCAAATAATCTCATAAATTTAAGTTGAATACAAGCAAAGCATTTGACAACCACTGTTTATATGAAGAACTTTGTAACAAAACCATGAAGCGTTTCTATAGATATATATGTATTGTTTATTTGAAGAAGACATCATGTTGAAGGACAGAACTGCATTTGTCTCACCTGTCTTCTGCAGCCATGGTCTCTGTGTGTGGATGTGGTTGACCCCCACGCAGGCGGCCGGGAGCGTCTTGGACACCTGCAGTCAAGGACAGGCGGACTTATTAGCTTGTCCAAGAGAAACCTCACATTATTCTGTCGGATATTGGTGGTGAGATTAAAAACCTAAGATATGCGCAGGTTAAACGCTGCGCAGCGGAGAGGGCATGCGCTGTCAGGCTTCCTGACCTTCAAGCGTGGCTGAATGAGCCGTTAGCTCGCTGTTAGCCTGGATGCTAAGTTTAGCCGCTGCAGGACGAAGACCGGGTCTTTGCAAGGACAACTCGACAAAATATGTTCAGCTCAGTAATATTAGCACCACAAGGCTAATCTATTACCGACAGCTGATTTCTTGCGTTTAGATGCGCTTTTATGGATTAGTGTCGTGTAAGCTAGCGGCCTGTACCCTTTACGTTCACAAAGCTCAACAAATAATGTAAAAAATACTTTGTGCTACAGCCACAGTAGCTGTATATTGTTTAGTAAAATACTTACAAATCCAGCTCTCCTGGGCAGGCTCCTGACCAAAGCTGCTGCAACTCTCACGGATAACATTTTGTCGGGTTGCTAATGACCTGTCCTCCAGTAAACGGCTCCGACCTGCCTGAATGTAATGGCTGAATGAACGCTTCTTCTATTTATTGAAGTGATGTCAATTTGTCTGGTTTACTGCTCAGCTATGCCCCCTGCCGTCAATAGACAATGGCCTGCTTCCCTCAAGGAAAATCTGGTATTTCCAGTAATACAATGGAAACATTGGCACAAATAAATTATACAATTATAAAAGGAAAAAAATAATAATCATAAAACACACTTTTACAAATCAAATATTTTCAATATAAAACTACTCATTGTATTTATTTTAGAACTGGTTAATGCTTACAGTGACAGTGAATATTGTTTACTATACATGCACTTAACCTCAAAATAGCAAAACAGTCTCACTCAGAAATTAGTGGCCAGGAATATTTTTCAAGTTGTAGTGATACCAATGTTACTCAAGTAAAAAGTACAGTTTAATAAAAAGTAAACTATTTCCAAAGGTTTACTCAAGATAATGTAACTGAGTGAATATAATTAGTTACTACCCATTTCTGGTAAAATAAAATATATTCTTAGTTGATAATTTTGTGTTGTTAGACACTATATTATGAATTTCTTCATTCAATTCAGTTTTATTTAAATTTATTTAGGTGGTTCCTAATTCACAACAAAATGCAAAATGCATCCCTGGCACTTCAGAAAGGGCCCAATTCATACCAACTTCATAGAATCCAGTTAATTGCCAAAATCAAATCAATTGAGTCCATTTCAATAAAATGCAATAATAATGCAAGATTCTGATCCAATTCCATATAACTCAGTTCGGTCCAAGTTATAATACAAAAATCCCATTTGATACGACATGCTAAAAGGTAATTTATTTAAAGAAGTCAAGTCAGTTGCATCGATTCGTTTACTTTTTAGAAATCCGTCACTCTGAGCAAAGACGTGGCAACAGTGGAAAGTAACATAAAGAATCCACTGACAGAAGCAAGTATGATTGGAAAAGAAAACCAGAGTACCCTCTGTATTAGCATATTTTAGATATTATGAAATGTGGTGTAACATCATACCCTTCTTTTGTTGTTATCATGTTACACTGACAGCAATAAAAACAAACCTACAAATGTATTTGTAGGTATCAGAACTTTCTGTAGACTTTGGAGAATATAAATAAATAAGCTCTTGATGAGTGTTAGATCTTTTTTGTTTGATAATAATAATTGTCCTTCTTTCTCTAAAGTTATTCAATTTTCTTCCTTCTTTTTTCCTTCCTTTATCTATTAGTATATCTTAGCTTGATTATTCATTTCATTCATGTTTACATTAATTAGAAGTTTTCTTTGATTTTTCATGTGACAAAAGCATTGATCCTAAATAAATCTTAACTCTTAAAATTACACAAAATTTTCTTTGCCTCTTGCATTTGTCATGCAGATTTTTAAAATAAGTTTCAGAAATATTCTCTTAGACTGATTCAAAAAAAATATTCTGAAACTGATTGATCCATAAATTTCAATAATGTATCTTAATTTAACCATGCTACAGAAGATTACTGCAAGAATGAATGTTGCTAATTGCTTCACCTTGGAAAGTGCACAGTTAATTAATCATAAATGCAAAGTAATAAAAAGTTATCGGGAACTTATGAAAAATCTTTAGAATTTGCTACTTATTTACCAGAGTCTTATAATTTAATCACTTTTGATCAATATACATGATCTCATCTTAAATTTCATACACCTAGCTGTCACTGCAAATTGATCCAAACAGCATCCTTTAATTCTTGGTGTTTTGTTCACAAATAAATCAATACATTTTGTCTCTCCTGCCTGACTCAAGTAAGTCTGTAAAGTTAGCAAGTGCCATTTCTGAAGGTCAACTCCTAAATGAAGTGGTGTTAGAATCTTGATTTATTTTCTGAGTATAAATAGAACTCATTTTCTCTGATCCAGTAAGGAAGTCAATTTACTCAAGACGCTTCTCCTCTCAGCCAGAAACATCTATTGTTGTTTACCAGACTGATGCCAGTAGCAAATCCCCATTTGTGTTTTTTTTAATTGAAGAAAAACTAATTATCATTATTATAAGGGCATAGATTTACTAAACTAGATTTCCTTTTTTCCCAGGCACTTGGTTATGCAAGAAAATTATCAGATAGTTCTGACTTTAAAGCAAGTCAGAACTTAATCTCATAATTTTGAGATTAAAGTCAGAATTGTGAAATACAAAAACACTTTATTGATATCAAATATTTCAAAGAATTGCAAATTCTGATGGGAGAAAGGATCTCCTGTAGCAGTCTGTATCATAGTGGCTCTGAAGTAGCCTCTGACTGAAGACACTGTTATTGTAAAGCTGTTTCATTAAGAGGACGCTCAGAGAAATCAATAACTGTATTTTTTATTAACAACTCCAACTGTAATTTCATTGTTATTCATCGATTTGAATTTTTCAGTGGCCCCAATCCTCTTCCATTTTTGGCACTGATTTGCACATTCTCATTTCCGATCCATTTCCTCCGAGTCTTTTTTTTTATTAGGTGAAACATCAATAGCCTGTTTGAGTGCAGGAAGCCCTTCAAACGTGAAGCATTACAGCTTAGCACATTTTTCCTGTGTAACAGCCTGTTTCATGGTCGCAGTAATATAAATTAAGCTGAATTGTCAGGTCCGGACAGGTTCACCTTGAGATACCTCCAGTTGCAGCATGCAGCGCTGCAACACCGCCCTCTTTTGCTCCGGACTAAAAATGACATGTCTGCTTTTGTCAGCGACAACCAGACCAGTCAGACAGTCGTTGGTTCGCCTGTAGTATTTGCAAGCAACAACCAACCGCCTGAATGTAGATCCGCATGGGCTGCTACTACTGCTCCATCTCTCTAAAAAACCCGGCGGAATCATAAGATACGGATCCCAGGATGGTGTTAGTGCATGTAGGATATCTGGTTCTTCCCGTATTCGGCTCAGTAAGAAACAGAGGTACGGTATTAGTATTCACATCGACCCAAAACATGTGCCCTGTTTATCTTAATATTCACTGCAGCTGTTGGCTAGCCGTCGCGTTAGCTTCCGTTAGCTTCAGTCCAACGGTCAACCTTTTCCTGACGTCGACCCGAACCGCGCCGGTACTTTTATAATTTACCTCGTTATAGATTAGCGAGACTTATCGAATGGTATTAATTAGTCTGAGATAACTTCGTGGTAAAAACCTGTTAGAAAGAAAATGCCCTTGCTACAGATAAGCTAACTGTGTTGTAGGCTCCGGCTATTTTCTGGAACGGAAACATTTGCCACAAAGGGTTCCGCATGTTTAGGGAGTGCGGCTCGAAATGCGATACATTAGCACAACCAGTTGTGCTTTACAATGTATTTATCAACAGTTTTTTATCCTCATCTTGTTAACTAATTTGCACGACTTAATCTGTCGTGTATTTGCAGTGTTAAAATACCGCAAAATAGACGTAGCCTCTCCAGCCAGTCAGCTTATCTGTGCCTGGATGATGTCATTTGAAGATCATCCGCTCCTGCCGGCGCTAACAGATTTCACACCACGATTCGGCTAATTGCTACCAGTGTTAATTGATCAGCATACAAATCAATGCGTGGAGAGAGCGTAGATGTCCGATCAATCAGTCCTGTCCGCCGTTTCTTTTTTGATTTGCTAATTGGGCAATCCAGCAGCTGCTTGTCTGAAGCTGCAGAGCTGCAAACGTAACCCAAATCTGCGCTCACATAGCAGAGATGCATTTATAAAGCTACAGTGTAACATTAATTTTACAACAGTGGCATCAGTGATTTCATTGTGCTTTTATTTCTGTTCTTATTTCCCTGTTTCATAGTATGGAGGCTGGCTCTACATTCTGCATTTATCAGATCTTTGTCGTCCCCCCCATTGTGTAGCTAATGATCATCTGCTGCTGTGTGGTGTGGCGTGGCCTCTGCCTGTTCTCTGCATTTAGCTGTATTGTGAATCCCTTCTTCATTTCCTCTTTCCATCAGAAGACGACATTGGTATTAAAAGCACCCCTTCCCGAGATGTATTCAGCTATAGACTGTTTCATGTTAAGCAGACTAAAACTATAGCTAACACCTAGAACACAGCACCTTGTTTTGTCTTTTTTTCTGTCAAATTGCTGTAGCACTGAGTAAACATTATAGCTCCTTTCTAGATATCAGTTGAATGTCATTGTGTACCTCCCATCCAGTCTTGTTAGACAACATGCTGTAAATTCCTGTAAAGTGGATACATTTTGCATGACCTCAAAGTACTGCACTTGCATCGTTGAACACCAGAATTTGGCTCATCCTCCTTCTTTTCACACAAGGTGCAATGTACATTATCAAACCAACCTGCGATTGACTAAGCAGATATGCAAATTGGAACCATGTGCATGCAATTTCCTCCTGCCATGTGACTTAAGGTACACTGCACCTGCACACAGCAACCTACCATAACTGTCTCCATTTTTTGTGTAATCTTTTTGTTCCCTTTTGCAAAATTTCAAGTTTTGAATCACACTGAATCGTCAGGGCCCTTTGTGGGCATGTTAAATTGTTCAATATGAAATTGGAAAACATGCTTACTGGTGGTTCATCACTTTCAAATTTACCCCACTAACATAAAACCAAAATGCTATCCATTTCACAGGGATGCCTATTTTTTCCTGCACTGCTAAAGATATCCTCTTATTATTAATAACGTCTTTATTGTTTGGTTGTGGTCTCTCTTTACCTTTTGTTCTGGTAATAGTACTTTCAGTGCATGGTCACATTTATGATTCATAATTATTTTTGTTTATGTTTTTTCTACATTGACTAGTGAAAATCCAATGTAATCTTTCTGTAGTAAAGATGTACCCTTGCTGTACTGAAATCATGTGCTGTAGCCAACACGTCTGCTCATTGGATGCTGCTTTTGTTCTTTTTTTAACCCTATATGGAGCATGGTGGGCCTTGCCTTCAATCTATGTTGTTTAGTTTTGTTGCATGGTTTTATACTATTACAAACAAACAAGGAAAAAAAAACAACACAAATTCCACATATACTAATATTTTTCAATAAAGAATATAGTGTTTATCCTAACCTTCAGTGTGCTTCTTGCTGATTTCCATTTATTCCCCCCATGCCCCCTTTTGCCTTGTCCCTACCTGCCCCTCTCCCCTCCACCCCATCCCCTCCACTCCCCCTCAACCACCTCCTCTCCTGCTATGACAAAGATAGACAATTTCCACGCTTCCTCCATCACAGGGCCTGAATGAGTCTATCTGCTGTCATTCATGGTGATCGTTTTCACTGAGCTGCTTGAAAACGCAGTGTGCTGTTTGCAGTCTAGACTCGACCCGAGGCAGCAAGTTCAACCTCTTGTCTGCCTGGCTGTACTGACAAACTACCAAGCTGAAACAAAGATGTTTTTATTCTTTTTTTGTTTCGGAGGGACACGTCGCTTTTTAAACTGACTGCCAGCAAATGCAATGTAGACTTTGCCTAGTAATGTTTCCAAAAACACTTGTCAAGGAAAAGATTGGTGTGACTCTGTGCAAACTTTCCTTTTTGTTAAAATCAAGACAAATCTGGGTGAACAAGTATAATTTAGCTGAAATTACCCTTATAGCTGCAAATCGTCTGTTCTTATGAATCAAAAAGTTTATTTTAGGCAGAGAATTAAAACCTTTTTGTTCCTGAGTGTAACCCAGCCTGCAATTTCCTCCCTTATTTTCCAGACAGCAGTCTGTTCACTGTATCTGCCAAATAGCTGTGGTGGGAGAGCTGGAAAAAGGCATTCAAACTATTTCCTCTTAACTGCTGAATGGAAAAACAATGTAGTCATAGTGTAAGACAAAGAAGACAAAGTAGATTGTATTGAAGGACTCTTACACTGTGGAAAATCAGTATTGACTATGACAATGCTTTTAGCAGTAAATATATTTTGACGGTTATTATGAAGTTTACACCAAGTGCAGATTATAACCCAAGTAATCCACATTTACAAAAGAACCTGAACAAATTTGTCCATACATCAAATCAAAGAATGGTCCAGGAACACTTGCAGCTCCAGTCAAAACATAGGAAATTTGAAGTATGAATTGGAATGGCGTTGGAGTCAAACATCAAATATGTGATATAGTTTCCCTATTTTCAGCAGTAAGCAGTGCAAATCTCACTGCAAAAATTACTTGAATAGTAATTCAAGGTGCTACTGATCTAAAGTATTTTTTAAAAATCAGTGCTTATGTATCCTCTCTTTCTGACGGTGCCCTGGACAACTGACCGTATGGCCAAAAACAAAATAATGAATCCACCATTTTAAAGGAAACACTCACTAAACACACTTATCTAAAGGCTTGGACCATAAAATTTTTTGGGAATGTCAGGTATAAGATGCTTCCTGTATGTGTGAACTAATCACACATTATTCAGGAGTGACTTTGACCTTTGACATTCTTCCACATAAAATTCTTCAGATCATGAATTTCCTTTTGCCTTATCTGCATTAGAGCTGCATGTAAGTTATGTACATTTTCCACAGAATTTAAGTAAAGGCTTGAGAATATTAAGAAAATCTTGCTATGACATTGTGGAACACTTGCGATAAATCCTAATTTTCTTCAACTCCTTTTTTAATCTGTTGTGATGCTTTCAACATTGACTGCTGTCATCTGCTATCATGTCATCATCCAACATCCTGAATATAACGGAATAGAAATACAAAATTGATATTTTGAGAGTAATGACGGAAAAATTGTTAATCTATTGTGCAGCTCTAATACTAGCTGGGTAATAGAAGACTCTTCTGGGAGCTTTATTTCTAGTTGATTATTTTGTTGAAAAACCCTTTCACATTTTAGTTTCAGATCCTTATCAAGTAAGTGTATTAATTTGTTCCTCCATCCCTTCCTTTATTGATATAAAAGCCGCCAGAGCCACATCCTGAAAAACAAACCAGACTTTTCTTCATCAGTGGAGTCCAATGCAGTGGGTGTATAGATATGCTACTTTTGTTGAGCTCATTCCTAATCATTTTCTTGTTGATTCCAGGCCTCTCAAAAACTTTGCGTGGTCCTTGCCTTTTGTATTCAACCTTTTTGATTCTTCTTTCGACTATGTAGGAGAACTTGTGAGGACCCTCTGGTCTTATTCGTTTTATGGTGAAATTAGGTCCTTTCCACTGCCAGATTGTAACTCCAACAAAACTCACTGGAGTTTAGAAATATTTCTGTAAACCAAAGCCTTCAGTATAATTTGCAACAAAATTTCAAACATTCTTAGTATGCTCCTTTTAACTGATTATTTTCACAATCTTCATCCTCTTTTGGCCAAAGCTGACATAAGATACATTTTTATGAATTATAAATTGGAAATAAATTAAGGATCTTAATATATTAACTCACAGAAAAAGGATTGAAGCCAGATTTCAGCTGCTAAGTTTGTTTTTGCCTTGACATTTTGCACCTTGGTTTATGACTTCCATGTGTCATTCCACTATATTATGCACAATTTTTGGACTATTTTGTTTTAGCCTCCTTATATGTGTGAATTACTTGGGTTATTGACAACATCTGGTGTGAATTTAATGTCAATAGGCCAATTAATGAATTTTCTGTGGAAAAATTTAATCTTAACAGTTATTTTAACTCCTGTGAAATAACAAAGAATATTGCCTAGTTAATTTGATAAAAGATACTTGAAAAAACAGTGAGATGCGCACAGAAATACTTGATCGTATTTCTTAGAGACAGAGAGGTAATATTGTTTTATTGGGTCTGCTAACCTACAATCAGGAGCAGAATTTATGCAAGGTGAACCGCATTGAAGACATCACCTGTACATCGTCTCTTTCCTCTTCTGAATCAGAAGACCAGAGTTGGTAACATGAGTCGGTAGAAAGAAAAAAAAAAGCTCACGTTTTCTGTGCAAGACCAAAACTGGGTCACTTTCATGGTACTTGTGGTAACCATCATTTTTCTTCCCAACCAGAAGTAATTTTCACCCTAGGTAAGACGTAGGGCTTCATGAACATGCTACATCACACACGAAGCGACACCACATTTCACTCACAATTAATTCCAACTTGTTTCTTCCTTTAGACTCCTGACAAGCTCTTCATATCCTTCACAGGATCCCATTTTAATCGGCAGCAGCAGCAACAGCAGCAGCACAGCCATGCTACCTCTTGCCGGCACTTCCAGTTAGGTCCTCAGGCCCCTCTGCCCATGGACTTCCCAATGCCCCATCCAGGGCAACCGCAGTCAGGCATGAACCCCCACCTGGCCCCTCCTGGCCACCAGCACGGTCCTCCACTACACCCACCTCTCAACCCGCTGCCCGCTCCGCAATTCCAGGACATCCCCGGCCCGCCCTTCCTACCTCAGGCATTACACCAGCAATACCTCCTCCAGCAGCAGATCCTCGAGGCTCAGCACCGACACATTCTGCCGCCATCCAGGTATCTACAGAAAAGTTTGGTGTGAAATAAAAAATAAAAAAAAACAACGGGGGCTGAACAGGTTGGAACGTACTAAGCAAAATTCAAATTTTTTACATTTTTATTCTTCCATTTGGGCCTCGGTAACAACAAAAGGGCTTAAAAAACCACCCACCTGTTTTTTTTTTTAAAGAAGTTAATGTTCTTTGCTGTGTGGAAAATGAGTAATTTGAAAAACCTCCTGATTGTTGAGGCACAGTGCCCTTACCTAACCATCCAAGCTGAGCACCAGCACTTTTACTTATGCTGTATGCATTGTACAATGGCTGCTGGACAAGACAAATGTTTTGCTGTTGACTTACTATTCAAAAACTACTTGCTGCATTCTTGTTGTTTGAGCAGGAGGCTCCACTTCTGATTTTCAAATATATGCTGTTGTAACTGCACATCTGTTTGCAGTTATTTTCACTTGTGAATGTAAAAGTTGAGATGGAGGGGCGTGGCCAGCAGCATTGACAAGAAATTAACCCAAAACATTTCATTCTGAAAGGAGATTAAAATAGACTGAACTGACCAGACATCTCATTAAAAAGAACTATTTTGTGCAAAAAAATTAAATGAACATGTTTTGTATAGTCCATAGACATCAAGGAAGCAAAATAAGTCACATTTTATGGAGAATAAGGTTCAAATGCCTGGTTTCTTTCCTTTAGTAGACGCACCCCAGAGAGAGTCCCTCACCAGCCACACAGACTGCGACCAGGCTATGAGTTTGGTCCTCCTCTTCATGTCCCTCCTCAGCCGGTGGTGCAGCAGCCTCGCTACCTGGCTGAGGGGACCGACTGGTGAGCAGCGCATTTTATTATTTGGCTTAAAGTGGTGGTCTTAAACTGCTTTACTGGAGGGCCAGAGTCCTGCAATGTTCAGATGTCTCTCTGCTTCAGAGAGTCAATATGATCTAACGAGTGGAGCTCTGTAATACAAATGTGGAGGACAAGGGACATATGTAGAAGTTTCAGGAATGCAGTTTGAGACCCCTGGCTTAAAAACAATGTAAGGAAATGGAGATCTACTGGTATAACACACGACTGCCTGGATAGAAATGTGTAAGAAACCTGAAAAATAAATGGTTGCTATGGAGAAATCCGCAGATTGTTCAAACTATAAATATTTAGCTGAGGAGCTATTGATTTTTTAAAGATATTCCTTATGAAGCTCTGTAGACATCTGCCCTTCTTAAAGTATATGTTCTCTTTTCTATTTTAAAGAGTTTATGATAGATTTTCATGTATTATGTTTGTACCCCTGTCATACAGGAAGCCATACATATTTAAACAAATTTAATTACTAATTAAACATTCCTAGAGATTATTTTAAACTAAAAATAGCATCAATTAAAAAAAAAAAAAACTATTTATTTTATATGAATTTTAAGGAATTGTTTTGTCAGTAATTGAGTTTCACCCCACATTAACAAACATATTCAAATTAGAGGTTGGATTTTTCTAACTTTTGTTATTTCAGATTAAGCTACTACAAAAAAAAGCTTTGAGTTTATCAATAATTTAACTCCTTGTCATATTTCTCACGTCTCCATATTAGGTTTTACTTCTTTCAGCCGTCTTTTCTTTTTCTTCTGACTGGAGCTGCACAGTACTAAAACTATCAAACACAACTGTTTTAATTTCTTTTATTATAATTGGGATGCAGTTTTACTTTGTTTTAGATTTACTACTTATGTTGATTGCATTTATTGACAGAATTTGTGTAGTTAAGTAATTTCAACCTTGATTTGTATGACCTTTGTTTGTTTTCAGCAGGACAAATTATTCATTGTCCAGGTGAAAAATAGTCTAATTCTGGTGCATTTACTGGAATGCTAACTATAACACAACATACATTAATATATTCCTACAAAATAAATGAAATTTTAAATTTCACTGCGTCAGCAAGTGTAATATTAGGATTACCTGGAAGCAATATTTGGCTGGCTACAACATTTCAGGTGATATGTGTTCAAACTCTACCAGCAGCCAGCCAGACATTTAGCAAATAAATGGACTTTTATGGCCTTAATGATGTAGGTCTTAGTGATTAATATGCTGCCTTTATACTGCTCTCTACACTTGTAAAAGAAGTTATTAATTTTTTTATGGTTTAGTAATAAAAGTCAAGCCAAACTGAAAGAGGTGCAAACAACTTGACGACAGAACAAAAAGTCAGAAGTAAACAAGATGTGAGCTAATTATGCTTGCTCTAATAAAAAGGCTTTCCATTTTCATGCAACTCCAATACAGTTTTTTAAAGTTGTCTACTATTTCAATCAAAATCTGTTTGAATACATTTTAATTTGACATATTCTAATTACAAAATATATCACCGTCTTTAATCAGAAGTTAATGACTTTGCCTTTTCTTCAGGGATCTGAGTGTGGACGCTGGGCTGCCCCCTCACCAGTACCACATCCACCCGCTGCCGCAGCACTATCAGCACTACTTGACCTCCCCCAGGATGCACCACTTCCCCAGAAACAATGCCTCAACACAAGTGGTGAGAACCACCCCCCCTCTACCCTGGTCTCTCTGCAATAAATCATCTCAGTCTCTGTGAACCTTCACTGATTCTCATTTCGCTTTCCGAGCTGAACCTCAGCAGCCGGGGAGGACCAGCGTCAGATTTCTGCTGTGGAGCTGATCCAGCTTCTTTTATCTGTCACTTTTTAGGTCGTCCATGAGATCAGAAACTATCCGTATCCCCAGTTGCACTTGCTGGCTCTGCAGAGTCTCAACCCTTCCCGGCATGCTTCTGCCGTCAGAGAGAGCTATGAGGTCTGTGCAGCTTCTCACTCTCTGCCTCAGACACACAGGACTCCAGTAATTAATCACCATTTTCTCTGTAACCAATGATATGAGAAGGCTTCAGTTTGTAACAGAGTTTTTTCTATTATTATTTTCAAGCAATTTGTTTTTTTTTTTCAGACCAGGGATACAAAACTCATAATTTTGGGCCATAACACAATCATCAATTAAGGCTGAAGCAGCAGTGTAGCATCATTTAAGTGATGCTAACTGTAGGTTGGAGTTAGCATCACTTAAACCAAATGCTTTTGACAATTCTTTTGGGAAAATTTACAATAAACTCATAAGCATACATTAGTGAGAAAAACTGTGGGGATCTGTTGATTTTACATGAATTCCTCTTTTTGAGGAATTGTAAAGAACTAGACGGGCAGATTGATTTAATGTAGCAGTAAACAGGTACAAACTGATTTGATTTGATTGGTAAAATCATCTCAAGTCTTTTACTGTGAAGGTTTTATTTATGTTTCCTTCTGGAGTCAAGTCTAATCTCATAGTATTCATATTCACTTGACAACAGTTTTCTTGTGGCCTCCTTTGCATTCAGAATATTTTGCTATTGTCTTCCTCATTTTGTTGGATAATAATTAGTAATGTTGTTTCTTCATAGGAGCTTCTGCAGCTGGAGGACAGACTGGGCAGCGTAAATCGTGGAGCCGTCCAAACCACCATTGAGAGATTCACTTTCCCCCACAAGTACAAAAAGGTACGACTGGAGGCCCTTTGCAACCTTTTTGACGATTACTGACAAAGAACTGGGCCAGAAACAAGCCGAGCGAGCCGTGAAAGAAGGGAACAGCAGAGAAAGGCAGCGCCGCCAGTTGGAAGGATCAGAGTGAAGAAGAGGGTAGCGAGAAAAGGTCACAACTCTTACCATAGTTCAAAGGTCAAGCCCATTTTTGTTTGAAATTTAATGAGACGGTGCTGCAGCGTTCATAATTTAAGGCGAGGGGGATGAGTCATCCGGCTGTCTGCAGATATGAGCGTGGAGTGAATTTAAAGAAACGTCTCCACTCAGTCTGACCCAGTTGCTGTGGGAAAAGTGTGAGAATATTAGGTGTGTTTTTTTTCTTCTTCTCCTTCTCAAGAAGCTGTGATGAAGTGACTCTTTTTAGAAAACATATCCTACCCTAGCTGACTCAGACACCCCTGTGGCATCAACACTGCGTCCGTTTAAAAATTAAAGTGTGTTTGCGTGTGCTCTCCTCTCCTCTGCAGAGAATACCGCAGGACCTGAAGATGTGTCTGGATGACGAGGAGCTGGACACAGATGAGAAATGCACCATTTGTCTGTCGATGCTGGAAGATGGGGAGGATGTAAGGTACATGAAAACACGTTTTTTTGAGGAGGAATACTTGGTTCCATCATCCATCGGTCTGTCCATCAACTCTGCTTTTTTTCAGCTTTCATTTTAAAAACCGGACCGCTGTTTTTATTGTGTTTATAATTTCAAAATTGACAAACACAACAGATAACCCTGCAAATTAGTGCCTGGAGAAATGTGTACTTATGATATACAACATCTTTAGAAATCCTTTAAAAACCTCATTATGCACTTATTATGTGCTAGTTTAGTGCAGACTGACATAGGCCTTCACAATAAGAAATTAATCGAATAAAAAATTTAAGTAAAGTTGCTCATTTCCTTTCTGATGATCTGTATTTTTTGAATGGCAATTTTGTTTTCAGATACTTTATCATCTCTTTTATTCATAGTTTCGTTTGAGCATGTTTTTTTTATTTTTATTTCTGTTTTATTATTTTGTTGTTTTATTTTGGAGAATTAAAATAGTTTCCAGCTGCATTAAATACCATTAACAGTTCATAACTTACAATATTGTTGTCCATCCTAAGTATAGCAAATAATTTGTCAAAGCTTCACCTCTGTGATAAATGTCTGCAAAGCTTGTTGTTTGTTTATTAGAATTAAAATCTCTTTGTTTGTCACCAGATGAAAGTTTTTTGGGGACATTTCCCACTTTAATATTTTCATTTTGGGTCTAACATCATGCAGTTAACAGAGAGAAGGAAGATGTGGTTTACAGCCCTCAGACCTTATTTATATTAACACTGGATACAGCTGTCACATGATCCAAGCAGTTTTTAAGCCTAAATTGGTTCTGCCACCCAACTTCAAAGTATCAGGTATTAAAATCCCATCAGAGTATCCCCCCTCCCTTTTTATGGCATCATGTCTTGAAAATGCTGCCCACAGGAAACAAACTGTAAGCATTTCACAAATCACATGATGTGTGTCTATAGGGAAAGTGACACGCAGCTTTTTTTTTACTGAATCTTGGACCTTTTTTATCTTAAATTACCTGTTCAACTTTAGCTGCTGAAAGTCAGAAAAGCTTTGCTCATACAATCAAATTAACAAGTAATTTATATATGCAGTAGCTCTTTAAAAGGAGCAGCCTGTTTTATAGAGCTATAAAACCTCCAATGGTGAATTATGCTTTCACCAAAGCACAGCCAGTTTATTTTAACATTTTCAAAATTATGTTTGAAACAAGATGATTTCTTTTAAGCCTTTCTTTCAAAACCTGGAAAAATTAGATGTTTGAGACAATACAATATTTCCATAAAAGCATTTGGAAAACTCAGCATCATGATTTATCAGATTAAAACTCTTTTAATCAATTAACACAGAACTACTCCTGACCCTGTGTTTTTGCTTCCTTTAGGAGATTACCCTGCATGCACCTATTCCACCAGGCCTGTGTGGACCAGTGGCTGGCCACCAGCAGAAAATGCCCCATCTGCAGAGTGGACATCGAGACGCAGCTGACTCCTGACAGTTGATGGCTCCTCTTAACTCCTGAAGCTTTAGATGTGGTCTTGTTATTTCTCCATCGTCTCCCCCGGTCAGTCCTTGGGGAAGTCCTGCCAAACACCCCTCTTTCCCTCTGCATCACTCAAAGAGCCTGCCTTCTGAGACAGCCGTGACAGAGGGATCAACAAAGCACACTCAACATACAACACAACGAGAGACGGGGCGGTTGATGCACAGACAGGTGGCTGGACTGGATCGAAAGTCAGTTGAAAAAGGACTTTGCTGGATGTAAAGGTTAGGAGCAGAGACACGTATGGACAGATGTGCTGAGGCTTCACACAACTCTGTCAGATCGTGTACTCCCACTTACATTTCTCCATACAGCTGCCAAGAGAGAGGACGCTCTTGACTGCCAACCTCCCGAGCTCAGTGTGGTGTTTTAGGGTCGTTTCTCTGCCAGTATATCCAAGCCCTCTCTACCCTTTCTCTCCTAGGCCTGTGAAAAATCCTTTAAGCCGTACTCTGCCCAAGCCCTCACTCAGCACATCTGTACAGAACATTGTCAAATGATTAGCATGAGGTTGTTAGGTGTGAACTCTTGTAGCTGAACGCTTGTGGTGTAATGGAGTATAGTACTGAATAAGTATTTACAGAGTAACAGTGTTGTGTAGCAAGCAAAAAGCCTTTTGGAGAAATATGTCTGTCAAAAAAAAATCCCACAGAGAAGATGAATACGGCTCTATTGAGTATTCAGCAACGAGAGAAAGAGCTAATTAAAAGAAAAACAAACAAAAAAGGCCAAAAATCCCTCTTTCTTGTCTAACATGGTTTTGGATTTACAGTTAGTAGACGCCATCAGAGTTGATGCTGAACCCGCTAACTGCAGGCATGGCTTTCAGTGATGTGCGTAGTGTCGTAGCGGGGCCTCTGCAACCTAGAGCGGAGGCCTCGGATGTGCATGCTGTATGGCAGGCTTGGGCTGTGTCGTTAATATTGTGGAGCAAGTAGAAACAGGAACTGTGTCTGTGCATGTGAACCGTATATTATGATCATTCATAGAGGAGGACAAGAATGCACCCAGTAGCCCCTCACCCATCCCTCACCCTGCTGCTCACCCTGAGTAGACCACGCTTGCCTTTAGACGCCGATCTCACACCAGTGTGGCATTTCTCTCATAATCACCATGTTTAGGAATCAAAGATCTGCGGGTGGATCTGGGTCTAATGGCAATTCCCTCCATAGCCTCCCTCGTCACAAGGCATGGGCCGGTATGAGATTCTCCCGGTTTGATGAAAGCAAGGAAAAATGCCACGGTTTCTGGGTTTTATTTACAACATAATCTAATTGTTTTTATTTCATGAGCAAAAATGCAATTACTATTTCCGCTGCTGCTAAGATATAATCTCATACTCCTATAGTATTATTGTAATAACTAGTGATATTGTTTATGAAATTTTGCTATTGCGATGCACATATGTATTCACAGACAGTAGGCACACACTCGTGTGTGGACGTTTACCGTCTTTAAAATCAGTGTCAGCTATTTGCACAAAATTGTAATCAGTTTCAGTTGTATGTAAGTTATGATGATGGTCTGAATCCTGAAACAGTCAAAAAGGTTCAGATGAAGTTTAAAGTCAGCCATTAAAAAAGATAAGTGATGACATAACTAAACAGTACAGGTGTGATGATACAATCAGTGACATCTGGTTCACCAGAATGAGAGCAATTTTACCAATATTTTCTGTTTTGACTTGTCATAATGTCTTTAAAATAATTTAAAATCAGTATAATATATCACACTGCTTGACTAGTCAATGTATTGCTGTTTCTGGCAGAGACAGGAAGCTGTAACGCAGCTGTATTGCCAGTCGCTAGTTAGCTAGTGCTATTACTTACTGCTTTCATACTGTTTGTATCTTTCGTCAGTTTCTTTTTTTTTTTTTGATATCTTTACCAAGTATCCAAAATACCGATTAATTCAGTGAATCATGAGATGACAATATTTTTTTTGAAAACTAAGTAACCAATCCCAAATCACAAACTTTGGTTTAGAGAATCTGAATTCATTGACTCGTCCATTTATTTAGATTTTTATGCTGTTTATGGTGTGGAAAAAAAAAATGTATATACATATATATAAAATGTATATATATATGTACATACATTATATATACTTAAATTAAAACAGGTCAATTAAACCTTTTAAAGCACATTGGTGCTGAAGTGCATCGAGAAAGATTAAGTTACTGAACTCCAATAAAAACTAACCTTTGATGTTTGCAAATCCCTAGAAATAATAGAATGACTTGGCATGCTACATTTGCATTTGGAAGTATTTCTTCACCTCTTCCATGATCGGATCAATAAATGTGTGCACACATGCGTTGCACACAAATGCACTAATTTGTGTGCATTTGTGTCCGCACAAATGCACACACAATTGCACTAATTAATGGAAATGGTGTAGCACTCCTTATCTATTGAGAAATAGTTGTTTATCAGGAAATTTAATTTAATTTCTTTTTAAAGTCAATTTCATTATTGTTCCAATAAATATAATAAATTACAGTTTTAAGCCCTTATTTCCTATTCCTATATTTCCTATTCCAACACAGTTGGTTTGGTTGATTTTCCCAATATACATGCTAATTCTTGCGCAGAGTTTCACCACTCAGGGTATTGAGTGGCGGGTTTAGCTTCGACCTGGTAAAACGGATTTAATTTGTCTTTGAAAAATATGAAATAAAAAGGGACAAGAAAGCAGCTTGAAACATTTTTTTAACACCTGTGAGCAATTCTACATTATCTGTGTTCGGATTAGTGGTGATGTCACACAGTGTGTGATAGAAAACAGTTTTGCTCATAAGTTCAAACAAAAATTCAATTATTGCATTATTAAATCTGACTTATTACATTTTAAATTGGTTCTAGTAATATTAGCAGATAGCATGTTTAGTGCGGTTTACTGTACTAAAAGGCAGTCTGTGTGTGTATTTCCTATAATACGGATCCATAATTTGTGTTTTGACTCTGTTTACCCCTCCTGTGATCTGCTTAAAGTCTTGCTCTCTCTCGCTCTCTCACAGCCTGAATGAACCACAGGCAAGCCTCAAACTGTCAGAGAAAATACAGTATCTTTACAATCCGATTGCATAGATACTGTAGTACAAGACAATCGCTTTTTTTAGTCACTGCTTCCTTGACATCATTTCACTGAAGTACACCTCTCTGATTATTGAAAGTAGATACCTTTCTGACTTAGAAATTACACCAAATAAGATTGTTTTATTATGTGTGGGGTTTTCAAAATTTGGCAAAATTTAGACTTTTAGGTTTTTATCTAAAAATAGTCAAAATATGATCAACAGCTGATTTTTTGTTGCATCTCTGCACTTGTTTGCTGCTCCGTTCATAGACAAGCTCTACTTTTCTTAACACTAGGAAACGTTTCAAAGAATTCTATGCTCAAACATCACCATCACTGGCATTCTCAGTGAAATGAGTTCAATCCTCAGGGAGGGGATGATGGAAAATTTTAATGGCATTGAAACCGTGACTTGCCAAGAACCGTGCTATACCGTAAAACCAGAAACCGTCCCATTCCTGCTCATGTCTTGACGGCACTCACACGAGGCTGATGATGCAGTGCCTGAGTCTCGCCATTCGAGTGACATTTCTATTTCTTATTACCAGAACCTTATTGCCTATCAGACAAGCACATGTGATTACTATGTAGAAGTAAATCACCTCTGTTGTGTATCAGCTCCTTGCATTTCAATCGTAGTTGCTCTGGCTACTTAAAGACAAGACTGTGCGGTGGTGTTACAGGGAATATCCGAACTCGTCTGCCAGTGAAATGTGCTAGAATGTGTATGATTGTCCCCCACCCACTCTCCCTCATGGTGCTTGTGTATGGTATTGCTAGAACTGTGATATGTTCAGTGATAGAAGCTGTTTCTCTGTATCATGCATGAACCATGTTGGCATACTTCACTTGAAGGAGGGTGAAAGGGAGAAAAAAGCCATCCATTTGAAAAATACCAAACAACTGTTCTTAGCATTAATTTTATTTTAATCGTCTTTTTCTTTCATTTCTTTTTAATTTTTTGTTTAATTGTATGTTTTATTTGTCTTTTCTTTGCTCACCTGCCAATCGGGACATGGTACTAATACGCCAAAACCTTGTCCATTTTAACCATCGTGAAAAAGAAGCTGCAATGCTGCAAAAAAAACATATTTATTGTTGTTCTAATGTAGCTTGTGTTTTGTAAATGCACTATAATATGGCGTTGCCTGATATTTTGGTTTGGTGGTGTGGGTACTTCTCGTCCGAGGTTTTGTGTTTTCTTTCAGTTCCAAGTATTTTCATGCTTCCTTGTGTACTATTGGAAGGTAACTTGACTGTTTGTGTTGCATTTTTATTTTATTTTATTTACATATGTAACCTCCATCCCAAAAAAAGAAATTACAAATACATGAAAATGGAGGTTTTGCTAGTCCACATAGAATGCTGTGATTAAAGATGCCTTAAGTATTTAACAATCATTATTTATTACTAACTGTAGCTAGCTAGCTATTGTGGTGGAATATTTAATGTCTCTGTCTCATAACTTTGCAATTTAATCAATATATTTATTTAAAATAACACAAAATATAAAAAAAAATACCTCATTATGCATTGGTTGGTGGGGATGCTTGTGCATGCCGTCTGTGTTTTGTTTTTCAAAGGAGAAAAATTAGAAAAGGTGACTGGGGGACTAACCAGCATGGTGCTGTTGATCTAGATTACATTCCATTTATGTCATTTATTGATTTAATCGCTGAATGTTTAAACTTTCTATTTATTTTAATATCACTCCTGCTTCCATCTACCACAGATGTCAGGGTGCAACCCTGTTTGTCTTATAGCTTGCTTTTGTTTTGCTCATAATAATACGTGATATTTTATTAGATCCTTTAATGCTCATATCCCTCATATCAACATGTCGCTTTAGTAATCATAATTTAGAAACCACATCAATTGAATTATCTGTTGCTACATATTGCTAGGAGTTGCTTCGTGTGGGATTTGTGGGACTTCTCTTACATGCTACCTTGAGCCATTGATCTTTTGAGCAAACTTCTGGTGTTACTGTGGTTTTACAATGTAGATGTTTCACACCTTGGTATAAGCTAACTGCGTTTTTCGGTGTGCATTTCTTATTAATACTCTACTAATCCTGCAAATTATTCTAACATGTATTGGATTGGAATGAAGCTGACTGGTCTTACTATAATTTCATTTCGTGCTCTCACTGGCCTTACCCTGTGCCCTCCACCGCGTACCCCGGTAACTCCAGGCTGAACTGGACAGTAGCCATAGTATTAACTCAAGCTGATGAACCGGAATGAACAGTAGAACTCAAAGCACAAGCTTTTTAATGCATGTCCTTCTCAGGTTTTCCTATGTGTATGTGGGAGTAGCTCTGTAGACGTGTTTAATATGATGCTGTACCTTCTTGAATATTTCAGATGTTTCTTTGCTGCTGAGAAAAATGTTGATTTTTAACCTGCCAGTGAAAAAGGGAAGTGGCCATCTTTGTACAACACACTGCTGTTTTGCTGTAACCGCGCAATGTTTTATGATCTTGAGTATTTTATAGAAATGTAGAAGTATGTATCAATAATATGAAAGCAATAGCTAAATCTTAATGAAGAATAACATGATCAGTGAATATTGTGGAAAATCTTTAGATTCACTCTGGGTGGATTTTGTACTGTATTTATTACTAATGATGATGCAAAAAGTTGCATAGCTTAACCCAAACTGTTCTGTCTCTTTTTTATTTATTGTCTTGTATATGATCTTTTTGTATGTGTTTTTCAAATAAACTGCCTAAAATGCTGACAACTAATCAAACATTATTATTATTATTTTTTGGCTGTTCAGTTATTTAAAAAAAATATAAAAAAATTCCACATAAGCCCAAAATTGTAAACTTTAAGCTCATCCTGAGTCTGTGAATCGTAGATTTGGCTCAGTTTAGGATGAGTTTAAGAAGATGAAAACACAGAATGGTTTCCCACAGAACAAGTTATGTTAATATCATAAACCTGACACTTCACTTTTGATATTCATAATAAAAAACTATTATGTTCCCCCTGTGTTTACAGTATTTCTTTCAGTTTGTGCTGGAGTGCATATAATTCTGCTTTTTGACCAGCAACTTCAGTATGAAGATAAAAAAGCAGATGACACAAATAAAAGTATAAATTAAATGTTTATTGTGTTTTGTTTACTTTGATATTAATTAATTTTTTTTAATCGCATTTCCTTGAGCGGTCAAGCCTCAACAGTTGGCACAGAGTTACTTTGAGCTTTTCCATAATAAACATCATGTAAAAAACAGGAGTAAAAAAAAGGTAACTTAAAAGCGTACCCCTTGTTTTTATCTTCTAGTATCTTGGATAAATCACTCTGTGTATCTGCCCATCACCCTTGTTAGCATCCAGCCACTTTCCACAGTGGAAGATGGTTGTGACCGAGTTAGCCGTGTTGGTTATCTCAACACACTCTAAAAACCACCCGCAGTACCAGTTGCTCCCATCGTGCTCGACCTTGACCCTCAGCAGCTCCCCAAGGTCAAGCATCTCCACGACGAACCGGTCCGTTTGCCCTCGCTCGAAAAGGTTGCGGCACTTCTGCCTGAGGTGACGCCTGCCCGAGTCGCCGTTGACCCCATAGATAGTGATGAAAACATTTGCGTCCGTTCCAGCCCCTTTCACGTCCCCTGTGATAACGATGATTTCATATTTGACGGGAACCAGTTTGCGAATTTTGCTTGCAAAGCTTTCGACGGATTTGTAGCACTCGAATGTCTGGAACTGGTCCTTTTTGGCTGCCAAAGGGATTTGTGCATCACAGTGAAAGAAATACCTAAACGAAAAGAATCAGTCATCAAAGGACTTTTTTTTCTTTTTACATAACCTAACATTATGTAAGTTGCGTGAGAGTCCACTCACTTGTTTCCCAGCTCCTTTTCTGTCACTACCACCTCCAAAACGTGCCAGAAGACTTCTTTCTTCACTTTCTTTCCATCTTTGGTTATGTGGCCGAGGCAGATCCCAGCGATGTCCCCCAAGTTTTTGGACGAGAACTCAAACGTGTCAGTGGCACCGCTGCAAATATTTACAGAAATCTGCAACTATTAGGCAAGTTTGTGCATGGCAAGCGATCAGAAAAAAAACAAAACAATGAAGTGAGATGTTTTCTTTGTTAGCACTGGAATTATCTTTCCTGAGAAAAGAGATGCGAGAAGATACAGGAGGGCAGAAAAAGAAAGCATGAACAAAGGAAGATTATGTAAGATCCCTGCAAATGCATTAACATTTTCACATTTCATATGTTATACAGAGATTTTATGTGATAAACCAACAGAAAACAAAGCATAAAAGAAAAACATTTACAAATAAATATCTGAAAATTGTTTCCCAAATACTAAATCTCTAATCCACTAATTCAGTGACTAATGAATTTAGTCCTGCAAGTATCCAATCTTTTTCAGCTGGCCAGCTTTCCTCTTTCTGGTAAAGAAAAGCAGCTCCACAGCATGATGCTGCTACCACCATGTCTTACAGAGTTGTGAATCATCAGGCCAGAGTAACTTCTTAATTTCTGAAGCCAATTTGATTTATGTATTTTTATAGGGGATACCTATGCAAGCTAGAAAAATTATCAATATATCTTTTTGTTTCTCAAACAGTTTTGAAATTTATCTTGATATGATTTAAAATTAAAGTCCAAACAAAACACAAGAATGAACTAATATGGAAAACCTTCCAGACAATAACGAACCCAGAAGATAAGAGTGTTAAAGTCTTGCCTTAAAAACTTCTTTTTCTTATTCTCCAGAACAAACTCCTTGGATCGAGCTTTCCTTCCTTCCAACACAATCCAGGCGTTTTCTGAGGTTGAGGCGTTGTTGGTGTTAGCAGTAATGGTGGCGATTTCATATTCTGTGATGAAGCAGAAGCAATCATATAATCTCACGTGAATGTAATTACCTCCAAAAGATTTTAAGCTTTTAGCATCCGTATATTTTTTATACTAACTGGTTTTATCACTGAGGTCTACTGAGTCATTGTTGGCACAAGCCAGCTCCCTAATAATTTGCCCATCGTCTTCATTTTTAGCCAGCCAGCGGTCACAGGGGAACCTGAAGGTCTGGTCCATGGCCTCGTCTCTCACGTCGATGTACTCTAAATGCCACCCAGGCGCCGGGCCTGTTTACATGAGAGGCATTGTGATCCAAATTTTCATGCATTCAACAATGTTTTTCTAAACAGTTGACAAGTCTGGATTTGAATAGAAGGCATTGGTTTTGTTCCCATGCATTATACATAATTTTGCATCACGAGTATTACACTCTGCAGGATTCCTCTTCTCACCTTTGTTGTCATGCCACACTCGGACTTTGGAGAGCTCCCCCAGACTGAGCATATCAGGAAACCGAAACACGTCCTTCATTTTCCGCTCAAACTTGTTCCTGTTGGTGCTCTCCTTCAGCGGCAGGATCCCGGAGTCGCCGTACTCCCCAAACACAATCAAAAACACGTTGGCATCAGTGCCACCACCTGAAACGTTTAAAAAGGAGACAGAAAAACATGAATTTACTTAAAAAGTAAAGAGCAATACTGTCTTGGGGTGAAGAGGTTCAATAATCTCATGATACAATATGTGATCTTCTTATCACAATACAATATGTATCATGGTATTTGTCAAACGATACAGTTCAATATGATCCGATGCACTTTTACAATTTTCTGATAGATTTTCCAAGGACGGTGATTTTAGTGACATTTTGTGATTTAATCAACTGAAAACTGATTAAAAGTACCAAGAACACAATACCTGACTGATTGGACAGGGTCTAACAGTCCACAGCTGGACAAAAATGAATCAAAGATGCAGTGAGAAAATTAGTTTCTTTCATTTAATTTATGTAGATCTGACAAAAAACTCAAAGTTTCAGCAGTTATCCAGGAACTGACTGAGTGGGCAGATTATCAGCCTCTGTAGACTCTCAATATGCAAATGATTGCACTTATGTTTTTCTTCTGGACATACTGTGGCTACATAATAATAAAAGTCTTTTGGACTATAGGGAAAAGGCTTTTCTACCTTGGCTACCAGAATTAGCCGTGGCTGTAAGCTGTTCACTACTAGCGGCTGGGGGAGTGGCTCTGCCTCACCCCGTTGTGATCGACTCCTGGCAGCTGCTACGCCGTTACAAACCAGACATGTTAAAAAGAAAGTATAAGCCTATGGGCCACTATGGTTTAATGCATCATACTCACAGATGAAAAATCGATGCCTTTCAAGGGTGGAAAAATCAATAAATATCGTAGGATCAATATGATTATACAGCCCTAATACTGTCTAAAACTCATGTGACGTGCCTCCGACGTCGCTGGTCTGAACTTGGATGACGTAGGTTGTTTTTTCCACCATCTCCTCGTCGTCCACCACTGCCGGCAGCTCACACACTTTTGTCCTTTTCGGTCCTTTAGTCTTGGACAGCCAGTTCTCGTAAGTGAACAGATACTCTTCCTCGGTGGTCAGGTTCCGCATCAGGATCTGAAAGTGAGCATGGAATAATTAAATTAATCACCAACATTAAAAGAACGCCAGTACGGCAGTACTGGATGAAAAGAAATGTCCCCAACTGCTGAAATGTCATTTTTAGAAAAATGTTTGTTACAGATGTCTTCTGTTTTTTTATTTATATTTTTCAATCTGAATTGTTTTACACCATAATCCAAATATTCATCTAAAACAAATGCAATAAAAAGAATGCTGTTTTCAAATAATATCAATTATTTCTCCCTTTTTAACTAATTTAACCAGATTTTTAAATAAGTAATTGACTTGTACATCCAATAAAAATTTTAAACAGGGCCTGTGTGACAACATGAAGTAGGCAAAAAAGAAAGAGGACTTTTTTTTGAGTTTACATGATGTTATATTGTTATTGATTATGTGCTGAAGGCAGAGTATTGGAAAGAGAAAGACTCTTAAAGTGACCGAGGCCCAATTACATATTAAAGTTTCTTTAAGTTTTGTTTGATACATACAACAAGTAACACAGTTACTTGATTGAGCTACAAAATGGGATTATGTATCTGAAAAATACATAATACTGTCTTTTTAATATTAAAAGTTGTATAAATAATTAATTTCACCGAAAAAAAAAAAAACTTAAATAATAATATCAAACATTTTGCGCCAGATAAAACCAACTTTATGACCCCATCATTGCTTTTCTACCACTGATAAAGTATTTTGGTGATATTTAGCATAATGTTTGCAGTTTTAGACATAGCTGGTTTTCAAGTTACCCTGTCCAGAAACCAGTCTGGGCGGCTCCCAGTGCCATCGATCCGAACTCTGATCTTCTTCAGAGGAGCGATGTCATCAATCTCCAGGGTGAACGTGTCTTCTTGGTCACGTTCAAACCTGCATAAAACAACGAATAAACAAACAAACCGTCTCAGAATCAGAGTGGGTAATGAATAAAATAGGATTAAATCACAAAATTCAGAATGAGTCTTTATGGGAATTTTATTGGGTCTTAGTTACAAAAGAGAATCTTTTTTTCCCCCCAAGAATACTGGGTGGATATTTGCTGCAAATAAAAGATTTTATTAATCAGGAGGACACCTTCCCTAGAGAATGGGGTTTATTATTAGAGGATTGCTGCTGACCTATCCCCGTTCTTCGGCAGCAACATTTCCTCTGTGCCCCCGTTGGCCCCGTACACAGTCAGGAAAATGTTTGTATCCGTCCCTGCATACTGAGTGTCTCCTGTGACAACCGATATTGAATAAATAACCTGCAAAATCGCAGAGAACAACAGGCATAAACGAGAGGAACTCTGCTTCCCAACAGCTCATATTTTCAGAGCGATGACTCACTGTGCGGATAATGTTGATGGTGCTGGAGTCCAGCACGTTCAACAGTCTGACAGTCAAACCATCTCCCCTGTCTTTAGCCAGCCAGCATTTACATGGGAAGATGTACTTGATACCTTTGGTTGGCACAGCAACTGACAGCTCATCCACCAACCAGCAGCTCCCTGGTGTGACTCCGTTATGGCCGA